TTTGATGTAATCTTATCATAAGTTTTTTCTAAATCAATTAAGTAATATGTAAATCCTCCTAACTTTTTCTGCACTTTTCCATCAAACCTCTCAATAAATGTATAGCTTCCATATTAGACTTGCCCAACATAAATCCAAGCTGACTATTAGAAATATTTTAATCATGTCTTAGGGTCTGTTTGGGTCAGCTGCAGCTTATCCAACTTATCCAGATAATCAACTTAAACTTATCCAGATAAGCAGCTTAATAATCAACTTATCCTGATAATCTACTGATCAGTAGCTTATCCTGACAAGCTGGCTAGTTGTTTGGTTTGTGCGTTTCGAAAACAGCTGATTCTGGATAAAAGACCATTCTGCCCTTAATTTGGATAAACTGTTTAGCTGTTTGGTTTATGCGTTTGGAAAACAACTGATACAAGCACAATGATAAAGGGAAGTAAATACAAGATTCTCATTATTTCTCATGACAAAAGAGATACCTCTAAAATGTTCTTCCAAAACTAAATTGAAATTGCCTCTTAACATCGTCAACTATTATAGCTATTGTTTCGAACATAAGATCATCAATTGTTGTTTATAAATACGCAGAATCCAACCAAAATGACTATACTGCAGAAAGGCGTCCAAATTTAAAAATAACCGACTTTCATATTCATCAAAATGTCAATCCCCTCAAAACAACTACACTACGCGAATCAAATCACCGCTCACAACTCTAAATGCCAGATCAAAAAACACAGTAAAAGGATTTCAGATCTAACTTTCTGCAGGCAGCAAAATAAAAAATAGAAAAGTGAGACAAACTTCCTATTGAACTGTGAAAATTAATCATTTATCCATTTGTCTATTCGATCAAGTGATTATGAAGTGCAAAGGCTAATTTTTTAGATTTTTTGTGAGAGTATAAAATTGATCATTACAGGGGGAAAAAGAAAAAACTATAAAAGAAAAAAAATTACCATAGTAGAAGCTTAGCCCTTGGAGACATCAACCTGTTCACTATTGGTCTCACTATCACAACCCCACAACCGGTCCCCACTACTGCGTGAAGAACATCAGGAAGGAGGCGGTGAGAAGCGTGAAGAATCGCAGAAGAAGAATCGATCTAGTGGAACGGTGGAGAGGAGTAGGTGAGGCGAATCGCAAGGGAAGAATCGATCTAGGCGAGGCGAACCAGAGGGGAAGAATCGCAGAAAACGAAGGGAGAGGAGTAGGCGAGGCAGATCGCTTGGAAGAATCGGCGAATCAGAGGGGAAGAGGGGAAGAGGGGAAAAATCGATCCAGGCGAGGCGAATCGGAGGGGAAGAGGGGAAGAATCGCTGAAAACGATGAAGGGTAGTATCGCGATCAGAGACCAAAATGGCCGGACGCGGGGTCGTATGCACGTTCAACGTCTAATACATTTTAAAAACTCCGTATTCTGAAACTCAGGCAAAACACTTTAAACAAACGCTTCCACGGTGTTTTGAAAACGCACAAGCGACAAATAAGCTGCCCCAAATACACCCTTAATTGATATTCAATTACTCTTTTCCATAATTTTAATGTATGACACATTAACTTAATTCCTCTATGATTTGTACGCTCTTGGGCATCCCCTTTATTTTTAAAATTGGGGAGCAAAATACTCTTTCTCCCCTCCTAAGCATCTTTCTAGTTTTTAATTTAATATTAATGAGTTTCGTAAGCCAAGAAACTCCTAAATCTCTTAAATATTTCCATACTTCAATTAGAAAATCATCAGGATCTACCGATTTTCCACTCTTGGTCTTCTTTAAAGCCCTTTAACTTTCCTTTTACTAATGCGACGACGAAAAAATAGTTTTATTATTATTAACTACATTACGATCACTAAGTTCGATCATTTTATCAGAAATTTTATTAAAAAGTTTATCAAAATATCTCACCCACTTATGTTGAATATCTTCCTCTAAGAAAATCATTTTTTGATTTTTATCTTTATTACTCTTTAGTTGAATAAATCTTTAATTTACTTTTTCCTTTTTTTGACTAGTTTATATATATTTTTCACCTTCTTCAGTATTCATTCTATTGTAAAAACCACTAAAAACAGAATTATTAGCATCACAAATTATTCTCTTAGGCTCTCCATGAACCACTTTATTTTTTTCTCAGTTTTCTACACTATAACATTTAACTAATTTTTGAAACAAAATTTCTTTTATTTTATCTTTTCTTTCACATTATTATTCAACCACAATATTATTCATCTTTCACATTATTATTCAACCACAAACTATTTTTATTTATAAAATTTTTTGTTTTTGATTCTCCAAGTACATCTTTTGCCACTTATTTAATAGTATTTGTTACTTTATCTTAAATACAAATAGTTTTTTCATTAACATCCTAAATCTTGAAATCTTGAAGTTTACTCATAAAAATAATTTTTTTGTTTCTTTTAGGTGTCCTCCTCAAATACTACGACAATATTTCCTTGTATTTTTTATTTTCCAACTCATCATCTTCAAAAATTAAACTAATAATTGCTGTTGAATACTTAAATTTTCACATGGAATGACATTACAATCTTGATATTCTCAATGATCTCTTTTCCTCATAAGAAAATAATCAATTTGTGTTCTATTCGATCAATTTTTATAGGTAATAATATGTTCATCAGTTTGTTTAAATAAAGCATTAACAATAATAAAATCATAAGCTAAAGGAAATCTTATATGATTTTATCTTTTTCATTAATCACTCTAAAACCTTAGCCATCATGAATATTTTTAAAATCTTCTATTACTCTACCAACATGTCCATTTAAATCTCCTAAAAAAAAGAAATTCTTTCTTCAAAATGTATCATTTATATTAATTCTTCTAGGTCACTCAAAAAATTTCTTTTAAACCTATATATCTAAACCTATTTGAGGAGCATAAACACTTATAACATTAAAAATCTAAGTATCAACAATAATCTTTAGGTTATAATTCTATGTCCAATTTTTATAACATTAAAAATTTTAGTATCAACATAATCTTTAGGCCATAATTCTATCTACAATTTTATTAATTTTTACAAAATTATCTTTTAAATTCTTATTTATAATTACACTTAACACCATTTTTAGTTCGACTCATGCCAGAATCCAACGTTTAAAACCTAAATTATTAATCTCTTTGCTCTTTTCTCCAACCCATTTAGTTTCTTAAATACATAAGATATTTATCTTTTTATGAACCATTATATCTACTAATTCCATTAATTTACTTGTGAGAATATCTATATTAGAAGATCCTATCCTGATGTTAGTATCGCAGACTAACTTCTTTGCCCGCATCTATATATAATGTGAGAATCCTTGCTTATCTGACACTATACTTAGACGTCTGTGTAACGGTCTTTCAGTCATACAACATGTCGCTTCTAGGGAACACCCTAGCATTTACACGATGATTTAAAGGATTCATATCATGATTTTTCAACAAAAATTTTATGCTAGCTGTCGACTACCTAACGTAACCCTACAATTTTCGCATTTAGGGTTTGAGATCTGGCAACGACTGTGTTGAATTATTTAAGAATACATGTGATTAATTTCCTAAATGTGGATAGTGACTATTTTGTTGGCAACACCTTCATGAACTTTTAAGATGCATCATATTTTGCTTCATGGAAAGCTGAATTGGTAGACAATCTCTAATAACTTGATACTCTAGAGAGAATGGACCGTGTTTTGATCAAATCACCGAAGGATAACCTTCATAAAACCCAAAATTTAAAAAGAAAAGTTGTGCTGCAGTTGATTATTTTGTGCAAATATGTTTAGATAATCTAATTTAACAGCTTACTTATGTGCGGCTATTGACAATTTATATGCAATTGTGAGCTTATATTGTCAGTCATGAGGTTCTACAAGTGTGGTGATAACTTTATTATCATGCATATTCTTTTCATGGGAAGTTAATATATGTCTAAAGATGAAATGCTCGGATACCTATTCAATCCCACGATTTTGCCTTCAACAATAATCATGCAGGACAAGGTCAAATTTTTATACTTAGGAACCGTTAATTTGTCTTCATTAAGCAGAATATCTTTGTACATCTATGTTGTATGGTTTCGTATGTTTGATTAAAAAATGCGATTAATAGCCATGTTGAGGGCAGTGGAATAGGCAGTTTGAATATGTCGAAAGGAGGGTAGAGGATGCATTGCTGTATGAGTTAATTAAACTAATATTGAAACATGAAGAAGAAAAGGAGAAAATAAAAATTACGAGCTGTAGTTGTGAAAAATCCTGTAAGATTTTAAATAACACTCGATTAAAATTAATGCAAAATGAAGATTCTAGCTGAAAATTTTCGGATAAGGTTAATTATGATGCTGAAGTAGAAAAGCTGCCGTTTAATCAAATAGTTGCAGCTCGTTTGCTTTAATCAATACTTACGGAAAGTCATTTGTAGAATTATCCTTCACACGTGGCTTTCATGCTTCAATGCTAACTATATTTGGGATGTTTAGCCAGAGTAATATTCAGATTTTATGTACTTTATCTCGTTTAAGTTGCACTTATTGTAGATTTATATAGCCTAAAGTAAGATTGAATCTCGACGGAGTTCCGATTATTTGTGTTTGTCAAATTTAGCCTCTTTGTATCACATTTCTCTAATTTAGTCCCTCCATTATATAAAATTGATCCAAATTGGTCCCTCATGTAAAAATTATGCTGCAAATTGCTCCCAATATAGCTACTGGATTACACAAAATTAATCCCAATTTAATTTTTGTAAACCTTCTTAGATCAATTTTGTGTAATTGAGGTGTTAAATTGGAAAAAGTGTGATCTTCTCACATAGATACTAAATTAGTCAATCAAATAATTGAGGGATTATTTTAGATTGTAACCATCTTAAAATATGAACATAGCACATTATTATTTTAAAAACATTTTACCGTATGTGTAAAAAATTATTGGTGTTTCTTAAGCACTGGGATATTGGTTTTTCTGATTATTTAATTTCATTCAGTGTAGGGTACCGCTGGATCACAAAGTTTTTGGCTCTTGTTTGTTATGCTATTCTTCTTATGCCTGGATTTATACAGGGTAAGTATTTGTCCTTTTTTTTACTCAAGTGTTCTCAGAATTTCTTGGTTTTCTAAATCTCAGTGTTCTTGGTGCATAATTATATGATCGATGAATTGATTTAGTTTCTTTTTATTTGTTTTTGGTTTTTTACCAAAATAAATACTTGTGGAGTATGTGGTAATTACTGTTTTCTGAATAATTTTTTGAATGAGTACATATGCTTTTGCCTTCTGAGCAAGTTTTGGGTTTTTTTTTTCTAGATAAATAGGTTTTCTGTGGAGATTGACATTCTTTGTTCATGGTAGTTGGGTACTACTATTTCTTCTCAAGTCAGGTCCGACGAAGCATAATTTATGGTGACCAGCCAAGAAACCGGTATGACTTTATAGAGCTTTATAAATTAATATAGGATATTCTATCTATCACTAATTGTGTACTTCATACTCCTTTTTCTTGTACTAACTCATGCATGTCTTTATATACAGGCTGGATCTATATTTACCTACAGATATCAATGGCTCAAAGCCAGTCGTGGCATTTTTGACTGGAGGAGCTTGGATCATTGGGTTGGTAATCATTGACCTGCTTGCACATATGAATTTAAAAATGTTCTTGTTTTTTTTCAAATCTGGGAGCAAAAACTATTCACTTGATAAAATATTCATTCTGCAGTTATAAAGCATGGGGTTGTCTGCTGGGGAGGCGTTTGTCAGAAAGAGGAATAATTGTAGCATGCATAGATTACAGGTACTTAGTAGACTTTATATTTAATAGTTTCCCAAATATCCAGGTTTAAACTGATATATGCTACTAATGGCTAGTTCTTAATTTATTAGAACTAAATGAAAATATGACACTAAATAGGGATGCAATGGAGAAAAGGATTCATGTGGCCGACCCCACGTAGTGGGATTAAGGCTTTGTTGTTGTTGTTGTTGTTGTTGCTGTTGTATGCTACTAATGGCTAATAATTGTTTGTTTATTTGTGCTTTTGCTGTTTCCTTTATCAGAAATTTTCCTCAAGGAACAATTAGTGACATGGTAAAAGATGCTTCTGAAGGAATATCATTTGTATGCAATAATATTGCTAGCTATGGAGGCGATCGGGACCGGCAAGTAACATTTATTTTTAAAAATTATGATTTTGGCCTTTTTTATTAGTTTTGAAAATTTCCCGGAAGCTGCTTTTATTATTTTATGTCCTCTCATCTTATTTGTTGGATAAAAAAAAAAGTCATATACACTGTTCTGGTGAGAAGATAGAAAAAGTGGTGTATAGAAATTCAAGACCACTTATACCTATCAGAACTTATGAAAAATCTCATGAAATATTTAATATTTTCAATCGAAGAGTTTCTTTATATTTTCATTTATTTTTTATTTTTTATTTTTATTTTTTGGGATCTGATTCTCTCAAAGGAAGATCATTTCGAAGGATAGTATATTGGTCAAGAGTAATCATTGAGCTTTTGTTCCAATTGTTTCAAGAAGTTATCAAAAGATTTGATGCCAAAGTCTTTCTTAATAATGTGCGCTCAAAGGGGCTTATGGTATAGGTAAGTAACTCAAAAGGTTGAACATAGCTTGATCAAGATTTTATATATCCATAATTCTAGGTGATCAGACTATAAGTGCACATGGCTTAGACCTAGCCTGATATGAGGTTCTTTTATTTGTAAATTCAATTTTCTCATTTAAAGAAATCATATAACCTAGAGCCAAGGAAGAAACACATAATTCCTAGACAGTATATGATAAGGAGGAAGGATAAAGGTCTTATATTTGAAATTTTTCATTTTGCAATGCTTTCTAGGGCATTACATTATTATAAGTAGAAGAGACACACACATGCATACTCACTCATGTACACACGTGGTATCTCTTTCCAAATGCACATATATACAAATCAATACAAAGCGTGTAGCCAAACTTAATAATACAACACATAATAGCGAGTGCAGCAAAAATCTAAGTACAACCGACACTAGGCTAACAACATTTACAGTTATGCCAATCACATAGCGTTTGCTAAGTTAGGATGGGCATGGGGGGTCACTTCATATGGTGGGGATAAGACGGCCATGATGGTTCTATTCTTGAAGATCAATAAACTAAGGCATATCACTTAAATTATAGGACTTCAATGTTACTTTTAAAATAATTTTTTAATTTTTTAGAATAGCTTTTGAAGGAGTATATTTATAGTGATTTTGTTCATGTAAATTTGGTATTTGAGTAGGAAAGAATGTGAAAGTAGATTTGACCCTCTAGAAATGAATGAATGTATATATGGATTTAACCCACTTAAGACATGACATTTAGGGGATTTCCTCGCGTCGTTTTGTCCTCTTGAGAGAAAGTTACTCGGGGCTATTTAGTCAACAACAAATGGAGCACTGCATTCCTTTTGTAGAGGCTTTAAAAATTCAAGCGTTTTGGAATTTCGTATACATTGATTTGTGTGAAGTGATACCCATTGCCGGGTCGCTCCTTTGCCATTAGTCATTGTAGCCCGCTGTTCGCCATCCACCGCTGCCCGCCGCCTGTCGCTGCTGCTGATCTTGACAAATTTATTTTACATTGAATTTATTTTTTTCCGACTAAACAAAAATATTTAAAGTCCTACATTTATTTTACAAAACCAAATAAATCTAAAATATTATAAATACAATACATTACTTTAACACTACATTTCTTTTACACTGCATTTCTGTTTCAGCAAAACAAATAACCCCTTAACCAAATATAGGTATGTCTAAGTACCAAGAGCATTTAAGTGAACGTAGGAAACTTGAACACCAATATATGTTGTTGAGGTTGATTTGGTCCAACTAAACATGGGTATGACTCTAGCCTAGGCTAACATTGCTCGTCTGGGAGGGATGATGATCCTGAACTGATTAATGCACAATGCTTAGATGTGCAGTGTGAAACTTCATTTATGTAGGCTGTCTCAACCTAACTCATTGAGGTGAGTTATTAAATGCATGTAAAATTTGTGTACACCCTTATTAATTTGTTAATGCCATGAAATGCATATGCAAATGATATGGGAAAGGGGAAACAATCTCAAATGAAGTCAGTTCTGTGGATTGACCATAAAACTAACCTATTTGTGTGATATTGCTTTTAAATAATAAAATTTGAAATTTAATTCAATCTTAGCCAAAGTTGTTTCAAGAAATAACTTTATGAATTTTATTATCAAATTCTATATTAACTCAGGGTTAACTGAAGTATAGTAACTATAAAATTTACCTTATGTTCTTAAACAAATGTCAAATTTTTTGAAATGAATTTTTTTAGCCAAAAATTACCCTTTAAAAATTTCTTAATCAAATTAAAAACTTTAAATCGTTTAAATGATTGACATAATTAAATCAATTCTATTTAAACCCTTCATATAAATAATTTCAAAATACTATCACAAAATATAAGCTTTTATTTTCTTAAATCAAAGAAAGAAAGTTTTCAGAACTTATGATTTAAATTGTTTAAAAAACCTTGTTTGATATTTATCCTTCAGAAAACAATTTTAATAATTAATGGAAGGAGAAAATACTGAATAATTATTCAATTATGATAAATATTTTTTAATAATTTTAATTAAGTATAAGGAGATATTAAAGTTAGTGACCCATGAGTCAGCCTTAAAAGGATCTTATTTATTATTAAAATTGATATTTTCTTAAAGCAAAATATATTAGCTAAAAATAATGGCATGAATATAACAAGGACATTTACATAGAAATGTTACAATAGAATGAAAATATAATAGAAAGATATGAAGGTTCAGTTGAACTTTTTAGCTTAAAGTTTGGTAAGAAATGGGTACTGGCGATAAGTGTTCTAATTGACGCCTTTTTTTTTAAGTAATATGAAATCTCTTATCCACTAGATACTTAATACTTAAAATTCTCCAATAAGAATAGTAACATATTGTGATAAATAATCATCTTTTTGTTCATAAATTGGATAAGGTTGAGGTGTTTTAAGAGCTTGTAGAATACTCTTGATTGTAATATCAGCAGTTAATAAAGTGACTGACACCAATGGGCTAGTAGGAACAGGCACATCAACAATTATCTCTATAAGAGAATTTGATTCTGACTCAAGGTTTTGTGAAGAAACCTAATTGATGAGGGGGTCTTTTATCAAATTGGTTGGAGGATAGGTGTAAATTTTTATGTCTGTAATTTAGGATTTCTTAATTTGGGTGAGGCTTGAAATCCTTGTTAAATTTTTACCCAAAACTATGACAAGAGGAGCAAAAAGAATGAATGTTTTTAAATAGCACCAATTGTTAATGTCCAGATAACAGAGAAGAAATTCACTTCTCTTTATTGAAAAGGGTTGTACTATCCAATTTCATCAAGACTCTAATCATAGAGGGCCTAGTAAAATAAACTATTGTAGCATCAATTTTAAAAACTTTCAAAATGCGGAAGTCAAGGAGAGTAAGGTAGTTTGATTGAAGTAGTGTAGATCGAAGTCGTTAAAATAAGATCCAAATAAGAGTGATAGGGGCCTCATAAAGAAATCGAATGACTTTATGATGAGCTAATTAGAATCGATTAGCCCAATGGATTAGTCACCTATCTGCTATAAATCAGGTAAGGATTTTCAAATTAGTTTTATGCTAGTACGGCCCATTGAGAATTTATTAGGGAGAGAGGCCTTCCTAGCTTAGAAATTTTCTCTTCGGATAAGATGTGTAGGTTTACCTTGTAACAATGAAGCTTGTTTATGTTATTGAATTGTTGAATTTTGGTGAAAGAAAAGTAGAGAATGTTTGGGAAAGTCCAAGGCCACTTGGGAAGGACGTGGCAACCTCACTAGGAGGCCAAACATGATTTTCGAAAAATCATTGCATGAAGAGGTGAGGTTCAAAGAGACCTTAATGAAATAAAAAATGTTGAAGGCTCCCTAATAGTGATCAATACAAGATAATGTGCATAACTACAAACATGGCATGGGCAAAAAATCTATTGGGAACAAGAGACCAAAAGATGACCGTGTAATGAGGGCAACACTAGCTGCTATTATGAGATGTTTATGTAAGGAGGTGCTGATAGCGTTAAAGGCAGCCACGAACCAAACGACAAAAAACATGGAAGTTCTCGTTAAGGAAGAACACGCAAGATCCCATAAAGGAGAACTAAAGCAAAAGCAACTAGATTTGCACCTGCAAATAACATCTACAGAGAGTGGAAGTTAGATAACCCAGAGAAGCTATTGTGCCAAACAATCACAAGATAAGAATGAGATGCGAGGGCTTGCGTTGCCTGAATTGTGCAACAAAGGAAGTTGAGAGATATAAGCTTGCAAGCTTGTGAGATGGATAATCGATATTAGGTGTGATGCTTTGTTTCAAATAACCGAGGGAACCAAAGAGGGAGGGGAATCGAGGAGTCAGGTAACCGAAGAGGGGGAGTTGAAAGGAGGGGTTGGGAATGCAATGGATGAATTTGCTCTATGAAGCTTCACATTCGACTTATCTGTAGAGTTTAGTTGTTCTAGTGCTAAAGAGAGGATACCGTGGTTGGTGCGGGAAGAGCTGTTGTCGAGCAGGTTTGGGCAACGATGTTGTGGTTGCGTAAAGAGGAAGAGGAAGTGGGAGGAAGGAAGCTCTGTGCGTGCGCTCGATCGTGCCCTAGCTACCATTGAAGAAGAGGAGGAAGGAAGGAGGAGAAGAAGGGTGGCTTCAAGAACCTACATAACAACTCTCGCATGCAGGGGAGGAAGACGGGTTCAAGTGGATCAAGGTTCGATCGAATTTTAAAGGTAAAGTCTGGTAGTTTTAATGAAGGGGTAATTACAAACAAACCACCTTTAAACTTGCTATTTACAAATCAACCACCCTCTTTCATCCATTTTTTATATTCTCACTCAAAATTCATTATAAAAACCTAACCCATATTTTTCATTTTTATCAAATTATCAATAGTTTGGCTATGACACGCGTAAAACATTGGTTCAGTAGTTCAAAAAAATTACTTGGGTGCTAAAGTTGTAAATATTAATGTTTCGATTGGTTTGTATGTAATTATCCCTTTAATTAATTACTTTAATAAGAAAATTATTTATATACATTATAATTTTAATATAAAAT